GGAGCCGAGATGTCATTTTAAGCCACTTCAGTCATTTCGGATTTTTGAAGTTGAAAAATGTTACTTAAAACGCGTGATACCCAAAATCGAAAAGGCCAAGAGGCCTGAATTTATTAGACCCAAAGTAGCAAGCCAACTAAAAATTTTAATTCCTGTGGGAACAGCAATAATCGAAGTTCAGATTCGGATTCCTCGTAAAAAATCGATGCGATTTCATGTATCATACCCTGACACCGAATTTCAGGAAAATCCATCGAACAGGAGCCGAGATGGCATTTTAAACCACGTCAGTCATTTCAGATTTTCGAATTTGGAAAATTTTACTTAAAACGCGTGATACCCAAAATCGAAGTTCAGATTCGGATTCCTCGTTAAAAATTGATACAATTTCATGTATCATACCCGAGCATAGCGTGAAGGAAAGAGACGTAACGTAGACATACTGATTCGAGCATATGAATGCAACGTGGCAACATGGGTAGTGCTCAGTGGGTCAGCGGAGGAGGAAGAATAAGAATTTATCGTGAGAAATTCCTTGCGACGAAACCGAACGCTTAGCCGGCGCTTAAGTCGGCGCCTCCCCGTTCGGTTTCACTCGGGCGACAGGCGGCGGCGTAGTTCAAAGGGGAAGTACGACAGAATCTATACGCGTCGTTAAACCTTTTTCCTTCTCGCTATTTTAACATATGATACATGAAATCTCATCATTTTTTCACGAGGAATCCGAATCTGAGCTTAGATATTCGATATTACGCGTTTTAATCTATTTAAAATCGTAGGAGAATTTACAGAATTGTCCTTGAAAATTGATCACGCATTAGTGTTTTTTTTTACGTCATTAAACCTCTTTCCTTCACGCTATTCTAAAATTTGATGCATGAAATCGCATTAGTTTCTCACGAGGAATCCGAATCTGAGCTTAGATTTTGAATATTACGCGTTTTAATCTATTTAAAATCGTAAGAGAATTTACAGAATTGTCCTTGAAAATTGATCACACATTAGTGATTTTTTACCCCGTTTTTCTTCTACGTTCACGTAATGAAATTAGATCAACAGTTGACTCATCGACTAGTCTAGCCTAACCCCCCAGAATCGGTCTAAAGGGCGAACGATTTTATCAGATAAGATGTGCGGTCCTAGTTTCCGGGCAACTGCGGTTTGATGGAAGCTGCGATGAGGAGAAACGGAAGATATGCGAAACTCGGACGGATATTAAGTGAGAAACCAGGTAGGGGAAAGGCTTTCTTCCTGAAAAGTTATAGTGCTCGGGCCAACTTACATGGTCACTGGAGCATTGTACAGCAGGTTGTGGGAAACTATTTTTTTGCAGCAACAACCGATTGGATTGCATTTTGCAAAAAGGAACTAAGAGCATTTCAATGTTGCTGGGATTGTGCAACTTGGGTACATTCTTAGCACAAAGTAAACTTTGCGACGGTAATTTTCGTCTTGAATTCATAGTTTATCGGGAGCAAAGGTGAAACTAGTTGATCGTTTATGTTTGCAAGGTTACAGCGACATTGGAATGCTCTTATTGAACGTCCTGAGTGTTCGAGTTGATCAGCTTATTTACTCCTTAGGCAAGGTAAACTAATGTGCAAAGACAAAATGTGAAAACTTACTTTCTTCTGCCATCGATTCTTGTTGACATTTTTGGTAGATGGCTTTGACCTTTTCCTGATCTTCGCTTTGATTGCTCTGCTGTCCTTGATGTCCTTGGTTTCCCTGATCCTACAGAGAAAAAATCCCTTAGTTAGGTTGTGATTGCTAAGTTGGGCGAGGACCGTACCGGCGCACAGTGGATTGAGTAAATCAGAGAGATCGGACAAAATTTGGAAACTTTAAAAGCTCATAACTCCGTTTATACAAAAGTTTGAGGTTCCAAAAGTGATTTTATTGGTTTCTTCGTACAATTTTCTTCTAAAAACACCCATTGAAATTGAAATTGTGACTAAGTTAACATCATCATTTGCGGTTATTTAGTCAAAAATTTCTTGTCCGACCTCTCTAATTGACTCGATCCATTGTGCGGCGTACTGTCATGAGTTTCAGAGTTTGTAAACTCGTCTTATTCGTGATCTCTCATTATTGTTTCTTCTCCACCTGTCGCGGTCTATGCATCAACCGTTTTTTTTTTCCTTAAAATAAAACTAAGTATATTCAATACGAAGTAAATAAACTAATCAGCGGAATGCAATGGAAAGAATCTAGTTCCAAACCCGTTGATTTAGGAAGGAGAAGCAGTAAGCAAATCTGGCCTCTGATCCCTGAGCCTAGATCGCGGACATAATGTTTGAATGTGATGAGGTAAGGCAAAATAAGACCTAAAGGCGCGAAAGCTCGAAATTCTTAGTGTCCACGTGGGGGGGGGGGGGGCGGCTCCATTTAAAATTATTTATCTACTGTTTTTTTTTTAAATGTTTTTCAATATTGTTAATAGCTTTCTAATCCTTTAAAAACATTATGTCAAAAGTTGAAGTCAAAATTAAAGTTACCTGAAAAGAAATTCACAATTGTTTTGAATCGAGTGTCTGGAGCCGATGGCAAGAGCGCAAGAGCGACGGCCTTACGGCCATATCACCTCTGTTAATTTTAAGTTAAACGGCCTCAGTTGTTAGCCTATACTTGGAGGTACTATTATCGTAATTATTTTATTTAGTAAGTATTGTATTTGAAGATATTTTCAAGTTCAGTGTAAAAAATATCGGAAGTTTCAAGTTCAGTGCAACATCTAGGTATTAAAGATAAATGTAATCAGAAGTTGATTTATATAGATGCTAAAGCATATCTTTCTCACTCAAATTGACTTCAAATTTTAATCGTGTTCTTCTCAAGTTTGCGGTATCTCGTTTTCAGACTTTAAGTGCTCCTGAAAAGTCAATTTTGGGATGGTCGGAGTTTTTTACGCAAAATGTTGCGAATTCTTTTAGGTGTACTGCGCAGTTCTCTCATTTTTTTACTATGGCGAATTTTTTTTTTTTTTTTTTTTTAATTTTCCTGTTTTTTGGTCCAACTTCATCACAAAAACACTTGTATGTACCTACACTAAAAACGGCGGGACGCGACATTCATTATGTAATATTCTGCCTTGATAGCGAAGAGAGCAGTAAGTGCATGCTGGGATGAGCCTAGAGACACATAAAAGCATGTGCTAATCATGGCTCATCAGCGGCGTGGCGTGCTTTGCGATGTATCGATCGATCTGCCATTTAAACCTATGGAAAAGGATCGATAAAGAGGGTGTTCGCAACGAACACCTTAATAATCGATTCTTTACCACAGCTTCAAACAAGGAAATATCGATTATCGATCATTCACGCCTCGCCACTGTGGCTCATGCAGAAATGCACTTACTGCTGTCTTCGTTATCACAGCAGTATTGATGGCACTGACACAGGGGTCAGAACGTAGCGTTGCAAGAGGGTGGTGCAATCTCATCTGCTGATTGGATGCACTACGGTTCTCAAGAGCCTCGGTAGCGCAGTAGGCAGCGCGTAAGTCTCATAATCTTAAGGTCGTGAGTTCGATCCTCACCCGGGGCAAATTTTTAATGAGGCTTTAGAATCTTCCGTATCATACGAACTAGCACCTATCCTGTTAATCAATTACACGTCGATGTAAAAACCGAAATGTAGTATACCAAAAGTGATATTGCAGAGTATTCCCGTTATATTACATTTCAACGACTAATCGCCATTCATTCGTAAAATTTCATAAAAATTATGTTAAATAAATGTTGAAAAAACAGCGAGACGAAATAAATATTCGGGAAATAAAAAATCAATACTGGGGCGAGATTTTGCATGGTAACACTAATTCAACTTTTAAATGAAATAATATCCAAGTACTCAGTAAATATCGTCTGTATAGCACCACACTGAAAAAAAAATGGTCGTGATGAGAGCACATACCTATTGCTTAGAAAATCTAAAGTATGAACTGCTCTTACATACAGTCTGGCTTTCACAACCAGAGCAGAGATGTTGTGTATATGGAAAAGCAGGTGTATGAGCTTACTGTTCATGCGGTATAGACGCCGCTGGGTCCATACATGATGGACGCTGGGTACGTGAGGTATGCACTCTGAGTCCATAATCTTCGTATGTAAATACTGAAATGTACTCTATCTCTATTCTTAGGTCGGCATCAATTTTTTTACAGTCTGTATGTGGCTCCGACCCATACTTTGCGTAGTGCATACATTTTTTTCCATGCATCGGGGGCTAATGTTATATAATTTTAGCGAAGGTTCAATGTTGGCACAATAATTTATTAGGTGAGCCGTAAACTTGAATCATTTTGCGTACATGTTGACATAACATTGCCAAGGTATTCTTGTCTTAACTAGGTCTAGTAAAGAATCCTTGTTTTTTATTTTTGCTTCGCTTAAGGTAAAGTTGATTCAAACGAATCAAAATATCATGAACACACACTCACGCGTGCACGTCATATCAGTTTAATATGCACGATTTTACGTACACGTGAGTGTTTTAACTTTTTTAAGTTTTAACTTCAAATTGAAAGAGTATATGTCTGGTACTTTACAAATAATGCACACTGGAAAAAAAACACACATTGGATCTAGAGTCCAGACTCTTGAAAACACTGACAAGAAAAAATACTCTTGATTCAATCGGATTTTCCCTGGTAAAAATTGGCAATAGAATCTGTGTTTCAAAATACCATAGACCTACAGTCTATAGGTCTAGCCGTAAGATTTCCAATAGCTTCTATAGCCGACTACACAATTTCTTAAAGCCGTTTATAGCCGATGGCGACTAAGCAACAGCCAGGCGATAAAGTGTATGCTAATCGTTACTAATTACGGATGCTAGGACTTAGTGAGTTTTTCGAATACTGCTCTCTCTTTGGGCCGTAGTATCTTGATTTATTTTACGAGGAAAGCTCCGTACTTTTGATGGATGCCCGTCATTACTAATATATTAGAGCGCCTTCAGTTTCGTATGATGCTGTGCAATACCTCTGGTATGAAATAGTTGCTTCAAGCGCCGTGGCACGCTGCGGCGCGGCAGGCGGGCAGCCAGCGCGGAACGTGCACCGGCGCCTACAAACCTAACAGGGATACTTCGCGCGTTGCGCCATGCGTGAAGTATCCCTGTTAGGTTTGTAGGCGCAAATGCGTCGCCGCTCCACGTTGTGTTAGGCTCTAATATTTAATCTGGCAGAGTCAGCGTTATTCAACTCATGATTTTGAAATGTTTGCACATCCTGTATGGATCATTCTCATTTTAATTGATGAAAAAAAATATGTATTAAAGGAAAATATAATGTGTGTTTTGTAAATATTAAGGTGGTTCCGTATCAAACTTAATGATTTCCAAAGCACACGAATTTCTACACAATTTCCTATAGCCTTTTAAAATCGATGGCGAAAAAGCAACGGCCAGGCGATAAAGTGTAAAGCCCAGCGATAGGAACTATAGCCCGGCTGCATAATTTTTTATCGCTTCGTATAGCCCGGCCGTGTGATTTTCTCCGCATTCTACGGACAGCTATATGATTTTCTGTAGCCTTCTTTAGCCGGCCATAAGAATTCCTATGGTATTTTGAAACGCAGCTCCTATCGCCAATTTTTACCAGGGTTTGCTTGAATCAAGACGAAATCCGCTTAAATTATGAGGCTTGGTTCTTGATTTAAGCTAGATTCTGATTGAATCAAGAGTAATTTTTTTGTCGATGTTTTTAAGAGTCTGGACTCTAGATCCAATGTGTTTTTTTGTCCAGTGCACCAGGTGCACAAAAGATTTTTGCAATTTAAAAGTAATTTTCACTGTGCCCGTGAACTCTGATGCAAAGAGTATGATGATGACGATGATGATGATGATGATGATGATGATGATGATGATGATGATGATGATGGTGATGATGATAATGATGGAGGCATCCGAAACAACAAATATATCTCAGACTTATAAAATAATTAATTTTTGACGAAATGTATACTAACCGCTTCAACTGCCAACAAATACTGCAGGTACAGCAAAATCGAAAACACCATAAGATTGTTCATCTTGACCGATCGCCGATAGCTCAAAATCTGGAAAAAATGAATATCCTGGGACACAAGAAGAAAATGCTGTGAAGTTCTTTGAAGTTTTGAGTGATCCGGAGCGGAGTTAGTGCGAAACTGCGAGGATGACCGCGGATCAAGCCTGGAGGCAACTTAAACACCGTCAAAACGAGAGCAATTATTTTTATACAACATAATCATCCCACCGCGTTGTAGGATCTTCAGAGAAAAACGCTGATTTTCCGCGCGCACCAGCCATAATCATCGCTCCTATCTTTGCAAGGGACTAGGATTTGTCTTTGATATAGGGGGAGGCACCTCATGAAAAAGGGTCTGGAGGGTATGTAGCTCCACAGAGGTGCCGGGTGCTTCCTTGCAAACATTTTGTAAATTGGCACGTCTCAAGTGCAATTTTGAAAAGTCCATACTGAGAATTGATCCAATTATGAATTCAAAGCTGAAAACAAGCGGAAAAGCTCTTGGAAGGCGCTCAGCTGTTTTCTACGTAGGCGCGTTTTAAAGTTCCTCAAAGAAAATGAGCACCGTTGAGATGAAAGAACTCGCTCACCAAAATTTCAGGTATCAATTTTGAGAAAACTACTCTACCGCTAAAAAGAGAGAGAAAAAAGAAGAAAAAATCATTTAAAACGAATATTGTCCTTCGTGCTTTGACACCAGAAGCGTTAAATAAAGGTATCACGGATTAATCTATTCTAAATCATTCTAAATATGTTGGGCCCCTCTCCGCCACCTTATTTTTGAGTTGATGCGCGCCGTACAAACGGATTGCATTTTGCAAAAAGGAACCACTAGCATTGCAATGTTGCTAAGATTGTGCAACCTCTTTTGTCTCGGAGGAAAACCCCGATTATCCATTAATAGTTTCTATTTTACTCGCTAAAAAGTGTAAATTTAAGACAAAAATTACCATCTAAATTTCATAGTTTTTCACGATTTCCGCAATTTTATTGCAAAAGATGAAGTTGCACAATCTTAGCATCACTGCAATGCTAGTGGTTCCTTTTTGCAAAATGCAATCCAAACTCATTGCTATTGATAGGTATACTAGAATTCTAAAGGCAGGTTGAAATCAAAAAGCGCTCTTTGTCGTTTGAGCGCTTAAAATATTTTTTTATTTCGCAAAATGTGTTTAACTTTCTGAAAAGGGGCAGGGCTCCCCTCAGAAATTTAGTTTTCCGCCCGCTTGGATGCTTTGAAACGCGAAGAGAGTAAAAGTAATTTTTTGGCGATTTGACAACAGCTCGGAGAAAATTACTGTGAAACGCAGAGCGCGGTGGCCGCGAGCTGAGGTCGCAAATGATTGAAAGCTGGCGGCGAAAAGCGAGCGCGGGAATGACTCTGCGGCCAGTTTCCGTTTTTCGGCTTTGTCAAGCCGTTTCCTGTCTGGCCGCCGCGCCGCGCCAATCCGACGATTAGGCTAATTCGCGTGGCCAGCGCTGGAAAACGTTTCCCGCCAAAATCCCCGCCGGACCGAAACCGACAGCCCGCCATCTCGCAATGGACTCACAGATTTTTTGCAAAACTGCCGCGCACCCACGCAAGAAGCAGTAGCGTGGCGCGCTTTGCGATAGATCGATTGTTATGCTATTTAAACCTATGGAAAAGGATCGATAAGCAGGGTGTTCGCAGCGAACACCTTAATAATCGATTCTTTACCATAGGTTTAAAAGGTAGAACAATCGATACATCGCAATTCACGCCACGCCACTGAGAAGAAGTGCGTTACGGGATCCTATAATCTAACCAAGATGGTCAAAAATGTATACAGAAATGCGCGTTCTTCCGCAAAAATGAGTAAATTTATGCAAACACTGAGTTAAATACGCGCTTTTTAAACGATGTTTCGTAAAAATTGTATTAGTAAATCGTTCTGGATGATTGAAATTCATAGGTTGACTGCATTTCTGGGCCCTAACTTTATTCGCAGAGGCATCGGTGAGGGCCTGATGGATTTTCGGAGTTTCACATCTGTCCATACTCTCGCTACATAGGTACCCTGGCAGAAAGCATCCTCGATCCATCGCAAATGATAATGCTGCGTGTTTACGCAGTTTTAGACTGAAAAATTCACCCTTACATTTGCATTCACGGATTATCCAAAGAGGAAGGCTACATGGGAGTGATCTGGAAAGAAGGAAACGGAAAAGCTTCTCTACGTTGGGATTCCGCATGACCTCGGCTTAAGCGACACTTCACTCGAGGTCACGCGGCCTCAATGGACTGTCAGTACGGCCATGGCTGAAGAGGAGGAGTTCAGAGTATGTCAAGTGGCATGGCCCAGTATAATCGACGGGTTATGTGAAAGTGCAATATCCGCGTACTTCCCTTATAGTCCAGGCGCCTAGTAAGTCTGCCTGGAATTTTGGGTACACGCCGATTTTTTTGGCTTACTTAATGTTTTTTGGGTCGCTGAATCCGAATCTGAAGTTTCCTACCGCGTATCTGGTGAGCATTTTCCGCCATTTTAAAAAAATGGTCTAAAAAGGCCTTTTTTTGCGGTTTTTTTGACATGGCGGCTACGCATCAGTGGCGTGGCGTGAAGGATCGATTATCGATTTATCGCCATTTGAAGCTATGGTAAAGAATCGATTACTAAAATGTTCGCTCCGAACGCCCTGATAATCGATCTTTTTTCATAGGTTTGAATGGCGAATCAATCGATATATCGCAAAGCACGCCACGCCACTGGTACGCATGAGTAAAAGTCCCGGATTTAGTTAATGTTTCGAATAGCTGACATAATTTGGAAGAAAATGGTATATGAATATGCTAGGTTTGCTCAAAAATTGAGAAACCTCGGATCTCGGAACTTGGGAACGCTTCGGAACTTGGCTGACCGCGGCGAGTCGGATCGCGCGTTGACGGGTGCGCCGCGTTAACGTGAATGGGCACGATATTCACGATGCTGTATCCTCCTCAATTTTTAAGTAAACCTAGCATATGTATACACCATTTTCTTCCAAATTATGTCAGCTATTCAAAACATTAACTAAATCTGGGACTTTTTCTCATGCGTAGCCGTTATATAAAAAAAACCACAAAAAGGCCTTTTCAGACCATTTTTTCAAAATGGCGGAAAATGCTCACCAGATACGCGGTAGGAAACTTCAGATTCGGATTCAGCGACCCAAAAAACATAAAGTAAGCCAAAAAAAATCGCTGTGTACCCGAAATTCCAGGTAGTCTCATTTTTAGCCACCTGGACTATTAGCTCCATTGAATGTGTGACATGGCACTCCCATGACATGTATTCATCAAGATTGAGTTAAAATGAGATGAAAGCAGAAAAAGTTAGGAAACTGTCGAGTACTCAAGGCAGCTTATATTTTTTTGGGAACGATTTTTAACTTTACATTTAATTTTTTAATTTTTAAAGAATGTCGTAAACATGATAGTAGAAACTAAGAAAAAAGGTGGGAAAATAGGATTTATTTAATTTCATTGGTACAAAATTTGTCAATAATCGATAGCCGTATTGTAAAAAATAGCGCACTTTCACGCCAGCTCTCCTGCCTACTTCAAAACACACTTTTAATTTGCGAGAAAGGTACTCGTGAAACTCTCGTGGATAATGCTCTATAGCTGAAGGTAGTACTGGAGCTGAACCAATCGACCGGACGACCGGAAATATCGGACCTGAGTTGCGTGAACGATTTTCTGTCTGGAGAATAGGCACGCACGCTTAATTGAACCAGCCAAGCTGTAATCGAAAAACAAGAAGAGGCCATTAGACTTTAATTTTGCCAAAAATCAGGTTAAAAAAATCGTTATGAAGATTTACAGGGTAGGTTCTTGTCTTCAAGAGTTGGGTCTCATTCTTGCAAGCATATAGTACATCGAAACATAGTAATTGTATTCAGCATATCCAATGTGAACAAACACAAAGTTTTTGAAAATACTGATGTGACGTCACTTTCTATGTTGGTACGCACCGCCAATTTTTCCAACTTTCTTACAGCATTGAATCTATGGTTATGGTAGAACTTTTACCGTAGGAGAAGATGGTTGCAACGCGATGGATGATTTCATTCATCGTGTGTTCGAAAGGAATCTTGCAGTTAGTTTTACTCTTATACGATGCACCTTGAATTAATAAGAAGAGATAATATACAGTAATTTCCCTGGTAAAAATTGGCGATAGGAGCTGCGTTTCAAAATACCATAGGATTTCTTATAGCCGGCTAAAGAAGGCAATAGAAAATCATATAGCTGGCTGTAGAAAGCGGAGCAAATTATAAAGCCGAGCTATACGAAGCGATAAAAAAGTATGCAGCCGGGCTATAGTTCCTATCGCCGGGCTTTACACTTTATCGCCATCGGCTATAAAAGGCTATAAGAAATTGTGTAGAAATTCGTGTGATTTGGAAATCATTAAGTTTGATACGGAACCACCATAATACTCACAAAACACACATCATATTTGCCTTTAATACATATTTTTTTTTCATCAATTAAAATGAGAATAATCCATCCAGGATGTGCAAACATTTCAAAATCATGAGTTGAAAAACGCTTACTCCGCAAGATTACATTGGAGCCTAACACAGAGCGGAGCGGCGTGCTGCCAGCGATAAGCGCGCACCAGCGCCTACAAACCTAACAAGGATACTTCACGCATGGCGCAATGCGTGAAGTATCCCTGTTAGGTTTGTAGGCGCTTTTCGCGCTGGCTGCCCGCCCGCCCGCCCGCCCGCCGCGCCGCAACGAGCCACGGCGCTTGAAGCAATTATTTCACACCAGAGGTATTGCACAGTATCATACGAAATTGAAGGCGCTCCAACATATTAGGAATGGCAGGCATCCTTCAAAAGTACGGAGCTTTCCTCGCAAAATAAATCAAGATACTACGGCCCGAAAATAGAGCGGTAATCCAAAAACAGTCCTAGCATCCGTAATAAGTAACATTTAGCATACACTTTATCGCCTGGCTGTTGCTCAATCGCCATCGGCTATAAAAGGCTATAAGAAATTGTGCAGCTGGCTATAGAATCTATTGAAAATCTTACAGCCGGCTTTAGGTCTATGGTATTTTGGAACACAGATTCTACTGCCAATATTTATCAGGGTTGCGGAAATTTACAAGATGATCTCGTCTAAACAATGTGCGAGCTGACCTATTATTGAAAATTTGACGAATTTTAGGTATCCTCAGTAGGGGTAATGTTAGCTACAATTAGGTTTTGTCAAAGAGAAGGGGTTTTTCCAATGCTTGCTCTAATGCTTGAGCTAACTCAATCACACCATACTTAAATTAAAAGTAAACGTTCAAGTATCTTACCTCCCATGCTTTTTCGTTAATACACTTCATCGTATCGTACGACATCTGACACGAGCCAAGATTTTCCTTCGGAGCGCTGCGCACTGTAAGGAAAGAAAGTCGTAATTTCTTTAGAAACACAGACAGTCTCGGTTCTTTCTTAACTTCGCACAGTTTTGCAAAACATACATTTTTAGTGGCAGTGTAAAACAAAAAGCGGAACATAAATAAGTAAATATCGCCAAAAGGTTTGAAGCCTTCATGACTTTAAAAAAATGACGAATATAACTCAAAGGAAAAAACCCTCGGTATATTTGCGAGTCAATTTAAAATGTGTTTTAGTGAAAAATACCTAGTAAAAAAGACTGCGATAGGATCGCGCGAGTGCTCCTTTTTTACCTTTTTAGAGATGCATAGGATTGCGCGATTGATTTTTGGTACTGAAAACTCATATGTTTGCGTGAATATTCAATGTTCATCGAGGAAGCGTTAATCTGGCAACCTTGGTAGTTTGTGGTAGATAACTACATTGCGAAAAACTGTTCACTCCCTCAACACTTACGGGCATGTCTCTCTTCGATGGATAGCTCTCGGAGCACGAGTGGCCCAGAGAACTTTCATAGACATTTAAAAAGTGAACTAGGAACCTGTGGCCGTCACCCGGTAGGCAACCACTGAAAAAACTACATGTAAAAAATCTTAGAACAGCAATGTTTAAGTTTTCTAAGAGATTAATTGATTCAAAATTTGACGGGTGCACCTGAGAGAAAGCGTATGTTTATCTCTGATTTCAATGTTATGCACCGCTTTTATGTTTTATTTTTAATAGATGTTTTTAAAAAGCCACACACAGTTTTTCTGGAAAGTTTCCACGAATTTTCCTAAATGATCTCGAATGAAAGTATTGAGAATTTCGACAAGATATTTTTGCTCGTCCTATTTTCTTTTAATGTAACAAAAGAAGAAAAAAAATATCATCCGAGTTTCTGAATTGTTACAATGAGGATACATATTTTCCCTTTATGGTAAAACTGGAGCAGAAAGTCAAGAATGATGACAAGCAGTCCCACAGCATTCCTATAGTCTTGTACTTGTAGGCGCTAGTATGACTGCGCTGCTTTTGGCGTAATGCGAGAAGTATTCATGCAGACTTGTAGGCGCCACTATGGGCTGGACGCCGACCGCACTGTTTGGCGCAATGCGTGAAGTATTCATGCAGTCTTGCAGGCGCTGTTTTACGTTTAACGTCGGTCGCACTCACGCACTGTGTTTGGCGCGATTATTCCAACTCGCGTTAGAATAATCACGGCATCGAATAGTGGAGCTCAAAAAGCCCATGTTGTGTTTCGACGCCATATGAGCATTCCAACGTTGCCTCGTTTCTCCCGATTAAATATTTTTTCCGAGAAAAGTTAGGAAAGTTTTTTATTCCCACGACCATTATTCAATCTTTTCACTTCATTTATCATCAAAAAGTAAGACATCGATGACTTGTCAACAAACTAACCCAAACTAGCCTTAACATAGGAATGCGTCTATTTTCTTACTGTTTCCTGTTATGCCAAACCTCTACCTTAAATTAACTTCATTTTAAATTCGCGAATTCCTGTAGCAGTTGTTAAGGTTTCTATTTAGGCAAGGTTTGTGCCTTTTCCGCGCAATCCTCAAATATTTTCCTAGACCTTTTGTACAATCCTGGATAACCGGTAAAAAAGTATATTTTACGGAAAATTTCACATCCTTGAGATTTTCTCTCTCTTATTTCTTACTTTTCCTCCCAACGTGAGTTTTCGTATCAATATTATATATAAAAAAAATAGTCCATCAAGATTTATAAGATTCAAGGATATTCTTTTTCAAAATTCCATGTTCATTTTTGTCCTTGAGACTATACTGGTCGAGCAGCTTTCATAATTTACTTTCAAACGAAATTCATGTTCCGCCCTTATAGCTTAAAATGTAGGATGGATTGCAATCGAAATTTTTTTCGAACTTAAAATTAGTTTATATTATGAATTTATGTCATGAACTCAAGTTAAAATTGAACTCAAACCGATGACGTGTAACGCAAATACTCACTCATATTATCGCAGTGTTGAGCAATTATGGGCATGTGCTCTTTGGGCTTTTCTGACCAAGCCTTGTACAGAGAATCCTCGGTATTCTTAAGACTGTATTTACCCTCACTGTCAAACTGAAAAATTCCGAACAAGCGTTAAAATAGTCTGAAAAGTTGTAGGATAAATTAAAACGATAAGCATGAACTAAGGGAAGCGGAGAGAAACAGAATTTGGGGACTGATCATCTGATAGCTTTGCACCTATGAGGGGCTTGGAGCAGTGGCGTGGCGTAAATTACGATGTATCGATTGTTATGCCATTTAAACCTATGGAAAAGGATCGATAAATAGGGTGTTCGCAGCGAACACCTTAATAATCGATTCTTTACCATGGGTTTAAATGGCATAACAATCGATGTATCGCAATTCACTCCACGCCACTGGCTTGGAGGACATAGCGCATAAGTATAGTTTTTGAAAAAATTGAAATATTAATGATTTTAAGCAAAACTAGTCTTAAAACGTATTCTGTGAAAAATTCGCTCCCAGATTTCAATAATTTTTAAGCATAAAAAAGTCGGTTTGAACTTTCTTTCCGCCACAAGGATCCATGTATAATTTCGAAACTTCAAACATGTATTTCTCGAAATAGCAAAAACTGCACTTATGCGCCTTGTCCTCCAAGCCCTCAAATGATTTTAATGAGGAGATCTCTGGTCCAAGTTTCACCTATAACGACATTCGACGAATTTTTGGAGTAGTACTTTCAAAGATTCATGGCATGAACACTAATTTGTTGATCGATCAGAGTATTTTTTTTTGTGTGTGTGTGGGGGGGGGGGGGGTGCCCTCTCCACGTGATACGGGGGAGAGGGAGGAAATCCAAAAATTTGATTATCAGCGTTACGTATTTTATGAACCGATTTTTATCAACACGGTCGTTTTTGCAGGGAATGAAACGTGACTATCATTATCACCTCCAACGATATGCATTGGTAAAAAGTGTTTCATCGACTCTCATTGAAGTAAGGGGACGATATAAACGAGCCCGTAAGCTGCCTTCAAAACATCTTTAGTTGGATTCAATGAAGCTTCCATTTTATAACAGTCAAATACGATTACGCGGCATACTCCTGTTTTGCGGTCAGGTCCTCTGTCTATCGTGCGTTCCCTAAAGGAAGAAATCTTTCAATTTGAAGTATTCACGGAAAAAAAATAGAATTGCTGATTCAGCAATTCAATTGCTAAAAACAGTGAGTGCAATGTTTCAACGCAGATTTTACAACAATAAAATGCTACTTTAACCACACTGTAAACTAATTTAACCACGGGGGTGGTTAAAGTAGCATTTTTTTGTTGTAAAATCTGCGTTGAAACATTGCACTCACTGTTTTTAGCAATTGAATTACTGAATCAGCAATTCTTTTTTTTCCGTGTTGACATCAGGCATGTTCTTTCTTCAGATGTGAATGAAAAAAGGGCATCAGTATTCTAACAAAAAATACCCAACTAAAAATACCGAATGACGAAGCTCCCGTCAGCCAAATGGTCGCGATCCAACTTTCATTTGCAGACTTTAAGCGCAAAAAGTTCATCGGTACAAATGACTAATGAGTGTATATGTTCCGGAGAGGCATAATTCGCGTACGAAAAAAATATTCTATTGTGTAGTATTATACACTCACCATTTTGTAATAATCCGTCAAGCACTTCATCAAACACTGAAAAAAGAGACAAATCAGAATTAATTGTGGGAGATAATTATCAGGCCAAATTATGCATAGTTGGCCGTTTTCGGCTTAGGCATAGCTGCCTTAATTTTTCATGTGTATATAACAGCATGTGTGATGATTTTAATATGCTTCTACGATTTCGACAGCTGTTCCATCAGTTCATTGTAGATTTGTACGTCAAAATTAGTAGCCGACTGTTAAGTCACATTCCTCCTTACCAAGTCAAGCTAACAGCAAAGGATTGTATTTTAATGAGAGAAGCAGTAAATAAAGTAACGGGTGTTCTTTTCCGGGACAGATTGAAGCAGACAAAATTACTGCACGCAACTATTCGTACCCCTAAGCCGCTCACATTGCCATCACAGTTATTGAAGGCGAACTCGAGAGGGTGAGAGATACGCAGTGAGAAGACTATCGTGTGTTTCTTGCCGAGATCGCATTAATTCTCTCAAAAAAGTAACGTGTTATCGACGGTTAATTTTATGATCCCCTACTTTAGGGGGCTTATCAAATGTCATATCCCTGTAAGTCATCCATTCATCTGATAAACTCCTGTACTGTTTGTCCACCTCAACCTAACCGCCATTGTAACGAGGGTGCGTTTTCAGAATATTTCTTGGATTTCATCACTGTGTTCCTATCCCAAGAAGCATGTTTCAATGGAATTGTTGGGATTATATCGGCAATAAAATCGCTAGGATCATCAAAATCTGAGCGAGTATCCTCGATGTAATCGGGATAAAATCGCGATTTTATCGCCCGGCAATTTATCGCGATAAATGGCGATTTAATCTCGATTTTATCGAACCAAAAATTGCGATGTGCAGCAATTTAATTGTCATATATCGCAATTTTTAATGCGATAATATCTCGATGTGTTACCATCGACAAAATCCCGATAACCAACCGATAAAATCGCTATTTATCACGATCACTGCTGTTTGGGATAACACGGTTTGATAGACTGATTTATTACCTTCCCTGAATCTGAGCTAGGAACCCTCCACTGCTTCATCACATCTATGTCGGCTAAAAAAATCAATAAAGAAACAAATTATTTAAAAGATAATGTATGGTTAAAACTTTCTAATGATAAATAAAGATGCATTTTGTTCATTTAAAAACCAATAAACTTCGGGAGTTTGTTTTCATTGTTTTTTTGTTTTGTTTTTTGTCTATTTTACCCTGCCTCTTTTCTTTCATACTTATTTCGTACGACTCTATTTTAAATTTTTTTTTGTCCGCACGCGGTGAAGTTCATAATACTTGATATATGAAACTGTTGGATGATACTATTAAGTCCCAGCTTCAGACAGTAAATTAACCCTGCTTCATTGGGTTTCATAGTGGGACAATAATAAAAAATGTCAGGCATTATTCAAATAATCTTACCTTTCTGTCCATTGCAAGCTACGGCAAGTTGGTCCATTTCAGCATGGGTAACAGCCTGAGAATATTAAAAAGGAATATTTCAAAATACATAACATAAAGCAGTGCGTTAAGTTTTAGAATAGCAACTTTGTTCCAGAAGAGATCACGTTGAAAAAAAAAATCTCACAATTGTTTTGTCCCTTAGAATGGTTTTCGGTCGGTCAGTTTAGCTAAAATTGTGTTTTAATATTGGAACCTTTAAGATCAGCTAAAAATGATAAGGTCGACCTCGCAATCGCTAACTCGCTGCGCCCAACTTTAATAGAAATATCATCGCTCAAAAAACATGGCGATCCACGTCGCGTCGCGTCGTTCATGGCGATTGGACGTACACTATTGTTTCCTCCACCTTTTCTTCATCAGTCTGCAATGCGGAATGCGGATGTTTTCATTAGCTTTTAAGCGCATCACTGGTAAAAGGGAACAATGATGTATACCTATTGATAGCGCGATGGATGACATTAGGCAAGAAGTATTCTTAATGACAACATCCTCGTAAATTTTGAACGTAGAAACTTGGCAAAATTAGGTTTTTTTTTCTCAATTCGGTCCTGAGAGTGGTAAAATTCACCCATTCCAATCCTCAATGAAATAATGTTCTAATGTTGGGAATAAATGGTATGTGCTCCAACATTACTAATTTCCCAGGTACCTGTCACCAAAAATCTCCAGTATATTTTACTGTTCTTCCAAAATATTCACCCAGAGTCCGTTAAATTACTGATTACTTTTACAGCACACGATTACATGAAGGGATATTGGGCGGAGAATTGTATTCAAATTGTTAGAAACCCTGTTTAGTTACTAGAGAACACGAAGAATCACCGGTATTTTCTGATTTTCTGGGAAAAGCGAAAAATTCGGCCAATCGATAGTTTTTTATAGTGAAATTAATAGAGCCGCTTATTTCTTTACTGAGCTACCTCCTTGTCAATAATTACATGTATAAAAAATCAATTTAAAAGACTTACATGCGTGATGCCAAACAAAGACAAGGTGACGACGAAAAGAGAAAGCAGAATAGCTTTGAGATCCATCATTAACTTGTTTCCAAAGTTGCTAGTGACGAAAAGGCCTGATAAACAAACGAGGAACTACACACTGAAACTTTGAAGCTTTTTCCGTGGTTAGACTGAGCTTTTATAGCACAGATAACTTAATCGCGAAAGCTAGCGTTTTGATAGCAAGCCGTTATCTAACTCTTTGTGCCCCCCAAAGGTCGACCCAAAGGTACCAATGACTTACATTTTCTGTAGTTTGTAACCATTCACGCGCTGGAGTATTGATTCGTTCAGCCTCCCCACATCAGAATCAGGATGTGAGGAAAATATGCTCAGCCTCAAAACGTCGCTGCTCCGACGTAAAGGCGTACCTCTATTTTCACATGAACCCCGGAAAGCATAGAGCTATACGGAGAACAGGGTTCACGTAGAAATCGAGATACGCCCTTACGTCAGAGCAGCGACGAAAAGAGAATCCGAGTAGTTTACATCTCTTGCAGAATTTAATGACCGAGAACAGATCGAAAGATGATATACCTGTTATGAGAGTCAGTTAGGAATCTGCCTGAACTGAACACATATCCCTCCTCGAATCCTACACTGGAACTCCTTAAGTAAAGCTCATTCTGTCTCTCCAATTATGATTTTTGGATTTTCTAGCTTTGCTTTCCCCTCAGCACTATTTCACTATCATTATCCTTGCAGCATTTCCACGGTGTGAGCCGGCAATCACATAACTCGGTTTCCGACATCGCAGACTTCCTGTCATACTTTATTTTTTAAACGGAAAACTACTCAACAGCAATTCTTTAAAACTGCCGTGATTTTTTTTCTCTGTGCGGAGAAAATTCTGCATAAACTTCAAGGATTGATGTATATTTGTTCTCCTTCAAAAAAATAACTTCGAGGCGGAGATTTTCAGACGCCGCAAACGAGTTAGGTATGTGATGGCCGACTTACACCGTCGATTTGGGCCCAACTTGTCAGTGTTTTCTTTCTTATCCTGCTCTCTCTGATCCTTGCCCGTTATGAGATTGTGTACTTACTGAAGTAGTGAAATCATTTTCATGATAATTTAGACTTGATAAGTTTTAATTTAGTCTGGCTGGCTATTAAGAAACAAACCATGACTTCTTCTATCCTTTATTTGTGACCCTGAATAGTGGCATTGTCCTACTTCTAGATGCCCTATTTCTAGGAACTGCGAGTTATCTTCGTAGACAATTTTTAAAAATGATTTTTGAATTTAAATATCAGATAGACTACGCGTTCAACTATAAGTGTGTGTGTCATACTTTTTGTTGGTAGTTATGCTTTAAACGTTAGCGAGGAAAAACCACCCAAACTTCAAAATATCATTTAAAAAATTATTTGTCAAATGTAAAGGTATAAATGACATTTCTTTAAAAGATTTTAAGATTAATTTCTAAGGAATTTTAAACTTACAGCCCGAGTCATAACCAACTGGTGGGTGAACTTGCCTGCCAAACAGGCTTTTAGGTCGAATAATTGCCAAAGATGGGAAAAATTTGTGAAGTACCCAGTCCATTTTAAACCTTCACTCGTGTTTTCTTCGCCTCTCAAAACCACCCTGAAAGTTACATTTGTTCTGCTTCGAATTCATTGATGGGCAGTCTTGTTTTGATTATTTCATTCTCATTCATTTCGGCGAAAATGAAACGATTGTGAAGATATACGCACGAAAGTCAGAGGAAACTTATAATTAAGAAAGATAATTATGAGTAGGAAGCACCGATGAAAACGTGTGATTAAAATTTGTGAACATCATTCAAGTTTAATGGCAACTGTGGTTTGGAGGTCAAGTTCTTGGAGCTACTGCTTTGCCTCTAACAATTCAATCTCACCTCGAGTCATACAATAGATTAATAGACCACTGGGCAAAGTAAGAATTAAACGATGGATCTGCAAAACCCATGACTTAATCGCGACGTTTGAAACGTTACGTGCGTGTATGTTATTTTTTCTCCGTAAGAAAAACCAATCAGTATAGTGATTTTAGATCATAGCAAATGACGCAGGGCGGCGGAAAAGGAGAAGAAAAAAATTAGAGAATTTTTTCAGTCACAAAGTTGATTTTTCCCCGAAAGAATAAAGCATGCCTGGGCATTTCGGAACGTTGCAATGGTTGAGGTAGGTATACCGACGGTGTAGGTCGGCAATCGCATAACTCGGTTTGCGACGTCGCAGACTTCCCATCACACTTTATTTTTTAAACGGAAAACTACTCAACGGCAATTCTTTAAAACTGCCGTGATTTTTCTTCTCTGTGCGAAGAAAATTCTGCAAAAACTTCAAGGAACGATGCCAATTTATTCTCCTTTACGAAAAATGATATAGAGGCGGCAATTTTCAGACACCGCAAACGAGTTATGCGATTGCCGACTTATACCGTCGATACGTTACCTCAGCATTAAGCTCTTAAAGCTCTCAGCATCAAGAGTTCCTCGCGGACATCCGTGTGAACGGAGTCAGATACCTTGATTCCCCATCTTTGATTCCTGCCCTCCCCCCCCCCCCCNTATATATGCCTTCCACTCCCTGTAAAGTAGTTTGTCAGGCAATCCTAGACCCACGAACAGGATATTTGGACCACAATATTCAATCCACCATAACTCCTGTTTGGCCTCCGAGAATTTTTTCAGTGCCAAAATATCCGTTAAAAACTTCCTCCTGCAGTTATGCTAACAGTTCAATGTTTTAAAAGGTCAATCTGATTTGCTTAAAATGTCTAAGAAAATGGGTTTTACTCGTGAGTTTTAAACATTTTCACCAACGCGCGGGTACGCTTCTGATGAAATCATCCAAACTTATCTGTAGAAATAATACCAACTCAGAAAAGTAAGAAAACAAACATTTATTTTTAATTACACATTTACAATACAATTACTAAAGGAATGCTTCTTTTTAATGAATTTTTCAGTCGAGAAATTTTGAAAGCCAGGCGACTCCAACTCGTGCAGTTGCCGATGCGTCAGTTAAGTTGCCTTCGGTTTGGTACCGCATGAAGTTTCAGATTATCATGACACTCTACAACAGAAAGATGTGAGGTATGTAGCTGCCCCGATTACCATGTTTTGTCTCATTAAGTTAAATATCCGTTAAGAATTGGTAGGGCAATGTGGCGCATCCAAAACGTAGAACCCAATCAAAAATCTATAAGCGCGTAACGAGATACTTTTATAGGAGGGCTATATGGGTTCATTCATACACCTCGGGAATTTTGGTCGTTAGTAAATGTTCGGTCACGCACACTCTCACATTTTTTTCGGGAGAAGAAGCGCGCGCAGGCATTTTCAGGGTCCGGCTGGTCAGACCTCAAAAGTAAAATCTTAGAATGGTCAAAAATATCTCCCGAAAAAATGTGAAATTGCAGTATGTGAATATTTTGGAGGGATGATAGGGTATATAGGGAAGATAGGGTATCAGACATGTAAAGATGCTCAATGCCTCGAGGTTTGTGGTTCGATAGACAGTGGCGTGGCGTGAATGTTCGATTATCGATATATCTCGCCATTTGAAGCCATGATAAAGAATCGATTACTGAGATGTTTGCTGCGAACACCCTGATAATCGATCTTTTTGCATAGGTTTGAGCGGCGTATCGATCGATATATCGCAAAGCACGCCACGCCACTGTCTATAGAGCAGTGGTTCGATCACTCAAGTCTCTTATCTAATGAAGTATATAAATTAAGCTGCTATTAATTTACTTAATTTCTAAGTTTAGGCTCATGAGCTGGACTATACATAATTGATTAATAATTTGATATTTTAAGGAAGTTCGTTTTATCTTATTTATAGGTCTGTGTGTGTCGGGAAAGGGATATAGAGTTAGGGAAATAATAATAAGATATCTTGTTCAAGTAAGTTTCTCCGTAGCCATACTTGTTTTGTTTTTATTTATATTTTTATTTTTTTATTGTTACGGGTCGTAGAGTGCGAGGGAGTGCCATAAAGCGACCTATATGCATGTAGATAGGGTATACATTAACCAAGAATCAGTAATTTCCAGATATATTATGAATGTTAGCTCCCTTTTTTCTTATATTTTTGAGCTCTCCACGTGTTGCAATAACGATACCGAAAATGCGGATGTATTTCTTATCTGCCCACACCAATCTTACAGCAGTGAGAGGTCTGCTCAAGACCTTGAAAACGCGGCGATAATTGAATCCAAATCGCATGTGCTGGCAAAAAAATTGCAAAGGGCGATGACACTAATCTCGATCATGCAAGTCTAGACTCCGGAGTTTGTAAAAATATTTTGCGGTATCGGGCCATTGCTTGCCTTCTCAGCGCGAGGATTGCAAAAATGTCTATCTATGAATTGTTTTCTATTCTTTTGACGGATAAATCTTAAACTTTGCACACACTTATCCATCCGTACCGCAGAAAAAAATATCTAATTACTATTTAACGAGCCTCAGATAAATTAAGGCACTGGATGCGAAAAGGGCACTTCTCGATTGCGGTGTTTCAGAATCTCTGTTGCTGAGAGTCCCTTGGAGAAGACTTTAATGGGTGATTTTTCCAGAACTCTTTCTCTAGAAAATTGTAGAATCATAATGAATATTCAGTAGAATTTTTAGTGAAATGGATGCATTCACTTTCCTTACAATGAATGAAATATTAGAGGAGAGTCTGAAACACTGCAACCGAAAAGTGCCCTTTTCGCATCCAGTGCCTCAATTATAGTCGGCATCAAGCATCTCTCCAAAAGTGAGCAAAAAAGATGGTAAGATCGAAGGGTCAAATCAGATATGAACAAAGGTTCGTGTTTAGATGTATCTACCTCTTTCTGAGGTCTGCAATTATTATTCCACCGTGAGTAATAAGCTGAATCTCATGGAATAAATCCTTGAGAATATACACGCGTCTATGTTAAATTCACCTTTGACCAATGACGCCGAATAATTTTTGACTTATTATGCGAGTTTTAAATAAAGAATATAAAAGTAGTAAAATGATAGAAAGGCCGAGATGTGTAAGATTATTTTTCAACCCGGGAATATCACAGCGAATCGGTAATGTTTAGGGGAATATTTGTCGGCGAAAAGTGTTGGTTTTGTTTTAGATATCGGTAAATACAGTTTTAATAATTGAATCACAGTATGTGGTGGCAGTCAAATTGGTAGAACGTTTTCAAAAACTAAGATGAAAAATGAATAAAAAAAAGATTTTTTTTAAAAAAAAGTGAGTGTGGTTCAAACCGGTAAAATTTGACTCAGGACAACGCGATTGAGTCCAAAGGAGAATACAAACAAAAAAGAGACTAGAGTTACCTTGGTCTTTTTGGACGAAAATAAAAAAGAATGCAGTCATTCAAGAGACTTATGTCGTTTTAAAACAAAGACGTCACTGAAGCCGTTTTAGAAGAAATACCGAGAGTCTTTTACGTTTATTTTGTCAAAAAAGGGCTAATAGAGCAAATTACTTTGAGATCACTTATGTCCTTCCCAACAAAATAGGAAGAAAAATGGGAATAGTGGAAGATTTACGTCATTTTAAAAAAAAGAGGTGCCAACTAAACCATTTACGTGACACGATAAAGCCCTTGATATAACATTATGCATGGAGCCATATGAAAAATGGCCAATGAACCAGGGCAAATAAGGGCGAAAAATTTCTAAGGGTAAATTTGGATTAACGTCAAAAATGTCTAGGTCCCTGGTCCAGACATACCTACATGATGTTATGAATGGAACCCTCAGATGTTGGCATTAGCGGCTGTACAAAGACTGTTATCTGTCGCTTCTAGAATTCAACCCCCCCCCCCCAAGGAGAACTTTTTTTTGACGGAATCCTACGTTACACAAGATTCTTGTAGCTCTAAGGCAAGGGCAACCTGACATCAGAGAACGGGTTTTGAATTAATGTAGGAGATAAAACCAAACATAAAAATACTAAAAATGAATGAATGGAGATATGAATGAAAGTAAAAACAATAGTCGACAAATAATTGAACGTAATTTTGCAATTACAACCAACTTAAAACACCTATGTGCGAGGGGAAACTCATGGTGCACAAGTTGTTTCTTAACTGAGCAATAAATTGTAGTTCTCAATTGCAAATTGTGGTCCAATTTGTCCATCACTTCTGTCAAGTAATCATTAAAAGGTTCTCACGGAGGCTTACCTTGACATTAGCTTTGTGACTGCACTTGCTGAAATTGTACGTAATGTCCTCGGGTGTATCTCCACCTAAAAATTAAAGCTCAATCGTTATGTCATGTAAAATTTTGATGGCAGAAACAATAGTCTGCCTTTAAGCCATCGACTTCACCGGCACCACCATTTTGTTGTTGTTTTACTTATAAAAAGCTGATTTCGAACTATTTATTGAACATTTTAAATATTATTCCTACTTGTTATCCACTGGTGGAATACATTTCAAAGATCAAAATTGAAATCAGAAAGTTTCTAATTTCCCTCCCAAATTTTTCCAGTTATTCTTTCTTCTCCGAGAAAGTTTGCAAAAATATGAAATATCTCTGAGTTCTCATAATACTGTACATATAATATGCATCTAATTTAGAGGTAATCCTCTCAAGCTAATAACACTGTTTTTCCTTCATTCAACTTCATCACAATGCAGTGGTGTGGCGTGAATTGCGATATATCGATTGTTATGCCATTTAAACCTATGGAAAAGGATCGATAAACAGGGTGTTCGCAGCGAACACCTTAATAATCGATTTTTTACCACAGGTTTAAATGGCAAATCAATCGATAAATCGCAAAGCACGCCACGCCACTGCAAATTATGGACTGTTTCTCATACATTTAAGAAGGCAAAGGTAACTGTTGCTAACCCACAAGAATCGCCACTAATTCTAACACGTATACTCGTAAACATGCGTAAATAATAGTTAATGCTGTCTAAAATGACATGCAATTGCTATCTTTATAATGTAAATAAGCAAGAAAATATTTACCTGATAGATGCTTTACAGTTGATTTTTAGAAAGTGGAAGTTTCACCCAGCAAAATTGGTCCGTCCAAATGCAGAGTTTTGAAGAATATGGTGTCCTCATTTTATACATAGCTTTTGCAGACATGCTCTTTTTAAAAGCCTTAGGTATATGAAAACGACGGATCAACTTTCTTGAGCGACGTATATTTTATCTCTAAGTGCACAAATTGGATGTGTGCGAAAGACATTCACATTTATAATAAAGATTTACCTGTATTGCTACACTTAGAGGTAGCATCTAAAATGGCGTCTCGTAACGGCGGTGGAAGCATTGCCTTCGCCTGGTTTTCTATATCCTTGATCGCTATTTTTCCGTTTTTAAACTGTAAATATCAATGGTTTCTATTTAAAAAGTGGTAATTCTAAATAATTAGGCCCCGCACAGTCCAAAATACCAAGTCGATTGTGAAACTGCAAAAATGCGTGTATCGTTTTGCGGCGTTGTGGACTTCTTATTGTCATACTTCATTTTTCACATGGAAAACCACTAAACGTCATTTTTTTAAAACTACGGCGATTTTTATTCTCTATATGAAGAATATTCTGTGAAAATTTCAAGCCATGATGTTGGTTCGGTATCCTTGTATAATAAATGAATAGGAGCGGAGATTGTGAGACAGTGTAACCGAGATATGCATTTTTGTAGTTTCACCATCGAATTGCTCTTCACCAGGCGACGGTGAATTTAAATGAAACGCGTATCTTAATCGAACAATTAACTATAAATGGTAAGTTCGTAAGATCGTGGTATAAGTTACTAGTTACATCGCCTTAACTTACTCACTAATAGAACATTTCAAGATCGCTTGACGCTTGAGGCGCGAAGGGTTTCGGGAGGGGGGGCTGGGTTGTGAAGCTGTCAGGGGTAGTACCCCTTCAACAATGTGCCAAGTACATAGTCCCTTCCGGCTAAAGTATCACGTGCGCCATTTGTGCAGGCACCATGTCGCCAAATTTCTCGCTCACGTCAAATTTTTTACATAAAAAGTAATGAACAGAATCACTTAAAATTATTTAGTATATCTTTCATTTCGAATCCCTAAAGTTTTCCTAAAAGTATGTGCAAAAGTTAAAAAGAAAAATTAAAACAATATCGACTTGTCCGGCGACATAGCATTTAGGCGTAAATGACGCTTATGATACCTTGACTTGAAAGGTGACGATATATCCACAACACCAATATATGTACCATGATGATGACAGGAAGCATAAAATGCAAACTTTACACCGGTGTGAAAGATCAGCCACGTGTTCCTGGAACGCACATGAAGTTCCAGTCTTCGTCAAAATTCCTCTTTCAACACTGAATGTGAGGGGGCTAGTTGCGCCTTCCAACTGATGTTTCGACTACCGGCAAACTTGATTTAATCGCAGCTTATGAGCAGTGAGACAGCGAAGTTTAGGCGCTTTTTTTGCTAATACCGTGTCGCTGGAGATCGACAGGCACTTAAGTCCTTAAAAAGGTGATGCTTATCTACAGAGAGCGTTGCAAACATCAGTGTAAAATTGTCACGCGTTCTGTGTTATTATGTTTTCTACACCTAACATTTTATCGTGCGTATCATCCAACTGAAGCGGCTATGTAATTCGATGCATAAAATAATGCGTATCCGATGGTTCCGACGTTAGTAGATTTTTACCTCATTGTATTAACGCCAAGATGGTCAAATGCCTAAAGTGCGCTTTTTCGTGCTTACATTGATTTATGATAGGTTATAGAAAATTTCGTCAACGATTTTTTGTCCGCGCACCTGTTTTTTCCAGTAATTTACGTCCACGCGTTTTTTCGGCACGGGAGTTTTGGTCCACGTGCCAGTTGACACCCAAAGTTAATTGGCCCACATTTAAATGCAAACGACAATTGCTCACGACGTTTTTGGATGAAAATGTAAAATGTCTTGGAAGAATGAGGGTTTGCTTGTTTTTTTGTTTTGTCTGTTTGGTCCAACGGAGAATAATATATAGTTGAGAGTTTTGGTAAAAATGGGGGAGCGTCAATCCTATGAAACAAAATTCACTAAAACTCTCTACACCTCTTTGGTGTAACAGGACTTAATTATCTTTCAAGATTTTTCCACCTTGTTGTACCTGAACCGGATAAACCTCTATATTTGCCTCAGCTAAAGGCTCTTAGATTTTTACAGTGTACGATAAGTATCTTGATTTATTTTGCGAGGAAAGATCTGTGCTTTTAAAGGATGTCTGTCATTCTTAATACGATCAATTTCGTATAATACTGTGCAACACTTCTGTTGTGAAATAGTTGCTTCAGGCGCCGCCACACGGCGGGCGGGCGGCCAGCGCGAAACGCGCATTGGCGCCTGCAAACCCAAGTGGATACTTCAAGCATTGCGCAATGCGTGAAGTATCCACTTAGGTTTGTAGGCGCCAGTGAGCCTCTCGCGCTGGCAGCCGCAGCACGTCGCTCTGCTCTCTTAGGCTTTAATATTTATACTCGCACAGTCAGCGTTTTTTAACTCAGGGTTTTGAAATGTTTGCACACTCTGCATTTATTATTCTCATTTAAATTGATGCATGGGATACAATATGTATCAATTTATCAAAGGAGAATAATAATATAATGTGTGTTTTTTAAATATTGGTGGTTACGTGTCAAATTTAATGATTTCCAAAGCACTTTAATTTTTTCTTTTACATTTTGTACTTTTATTGTGCTGCAGCGAGGTGTACGCGCGACCAAACGCTCAAAATTTGACGTATTTGACTCTAAAAGATCGATGTACAAATGGGTTAAAACTAAAGATTGCGTGCTCCTTGGTTTTTTCCCCTCTTTTATTCATTTTTGCAGTTTCTATCAGCACAACTGCGGCTTATTGAGATTAATGTCGCTCGGAAAAGGTTTTACAAATATTTGTCACGTTTTAAAAATATAAATGTTTTCAAAATGAAGTAATAATTTCGTAAAGAAAAAATTAAAAAAATTTAAAAAAAGTTCCTATACACATATAAGGTATATTGTACATCGAATATTTTGAGGATAGAAATAAAACCAAATATTCACAAATGACAATTTAAAAAGATGATTCAAAAGGAGAAAGTAATAACATTTCATTTAGAAAATGAGCAACCATAACAATACCTCCTTCTCTCTCAATTTCTCATTTCCATATTGTCAATATAATTTTACATACCGACTAAAATATAACGCTTGAACCAAGTCACCGTTGCTTATTTTACGTGTGGGCGTAAACTACCGGACAAAAAAGGTGCGCGAACAAAAAATCGTTTACAAAATGTCCTGAAACCTTGTGATACATTAATAGCCAACTCGTAATGAACTAATCTAATGAACACTCAGTACAGAGTCTGGACTTAGGGTTATGTGCCATTGTTATTTGCACATACACTGAAACCGTCGAACACAATATATTAAGAATGTCGACCGGGGTGCTAGATCGAACTATTAAAATAAATCATATTTGCGCTCATCTCACTTATATATGTAGTGAATATTTTTCATCAGTTTTACAATTTTTGAGTGTTATTTTTATTATTACTAGTTCTTTTTGTTATAACCAAATTCCCTGAGATTTATGTCACTGCCAGCCTGATGAGAATTATCAAGGAAGTTTCAAGAATTTTACTTCATCAAAAAAATTAAGAGCACAATGAAATGATTATAAGAAGAGATACTACATTTCCCGATAAGGGGCTGATATTTGAGGATTTTGATACCTAAGAGAGGCTATAGAGATACCTAAGAGAAACATTTAACTATCACGATTTTCGGTTTAAAATTCATTTTGGAATTTTCCATTAACCCCTTTAGAATTGAAATCATCCAAGAATATCCCGTATAACTTCCTCTAGGCTCCTTACTAAACGAATCAAAAACATTTCAAAGAAAATCACAGGATATTAGCCAACTGCGATCCCTTCCCGAAAGCCGAACTCGACATTTGAATAATTCGCGATGTGTGAAACAATGGAGGAATATCTGGAGTTAGGTTCGAACCCAACATACAACTATTTTAACTTCGCGGTAGGCCGGGTTGCATACGCCCGACTTTGCGGGCGAAATCTGAAATTTGCCCACGGCTCTCGCGATAACGAATGGGCGTGATCAGTGTTTTACGCCAGCGTGACGTCTTTCGGCCAATTATTTTGACGCTCTTGTCGCACAGATTTATAACGCGATATCAAAAAGGAAATCAGAATGCGCATTGAATAACAAAAGTGCTAGACCACCTGAGCCTCCCATGCATGCTTCTAATGTTATTTTCCATAAGGAATACAAAAGTCTTTGTCGGGTGTCTGATTGGCTGAAAAGCATGTGCGGGAAGATGAGGCGGTCATGCTCTTCTGTTTTTCAATGCGGACTCTTTATTTTATCTTCGCGCGATATTAGCAAACTGCGATGCTCTTCGAAAGACGAACTCGGCATTCGAATATTGCACTGAGCGTAAAACAATAGACGATTATACGAAGTTTGGTTTGGACACAACATGCAGCTATTTTAACTCCTCAGTAGGCCGGGTTTCCTTCGCTCGAAAAAAACACTGATCGCTCCCGTACCTTGTCGCCAGAGCCGTATATTGCGAGGGCGCGTTGGCCGAGGGCCGATCTCAGATTTCGCCCGCAAAATCTAACGTATGGAACCTGGCTCACCGCGGAGTTAAAATAGTTGCATGCTGGGTTCAGACCCAACTTCGTACATTATTCCATTATTCCCCACGTTATTATGAGTTAAAAGAGCGTTCTGATATCCACGCTATTGTAAAAGAGGCTCAGATTTTATCGAAATGGTAACTATAAACATTCTTAGTTCATTCATCTGAACCGCAAATTGACAGAAATGTATGTGACCTGAAGCAAATGCAAACTTGCAATTTGAATGTGGAATTTAAATGACTAGCCTTCAGATTTTAATATATCGTAGGATGTTACTTACCCCTTGCATATTTTTCAACATACACAAAGTGTATTTCTGAAAGAAAAAGAAGAGAAAGAAATATTAAAATTTGTTTTCCAAAAGTCCTGGTACTGTGTCAATGAGGTTTCTTAATTAGCTTGCTGGTCCATTAGCGTAGTTTGATATATGAGTGTAATATGAGCTCGTTCATAGAATTTAAATTCAACAGGAAAAATAATTTTTTATGATGAATACTTTTGTATGTATTACTTTGTTGTACGAAAGTTAACTAATTTTTAGAATTGCTTTTCAGCTTGTTACGCTTGTCAATTGTTTATTATCCTAAAAATCCAGCCTCAAACGTGTTTCTTTTTTTTTGTATCTTATCGCAAAATATTGCGCCGTCTCAACTATGTCAAAAATATCAACCAGTGCATAATGTAAGATTTTAACAAGGTGGAGAAATGGTGCTGGGTCCAGTCCACACCATTTCGTGGGGAAAACGAAGCCAAGAAGTTCCTGACTGAACACTCTCCCTCCTCAGTTTCGTACTGGTGAGCATTAGAGTTCAAAAAATTATTTTTGACTCTAATTTTAATTTTTGGAACTTCTTGGCTTTGTTTTCCCCACGCAATGGTGTGGACCCAGCACCATTTCTCCACCTCGTTACATACAGGTTTCGGGCCACTTCTTAGTGTTTTTTTCTTCATTTGTAAGATTTTAATTAAGATGTTTGTATCATCCAGTCCCAACACCAATTCAGTCGTGCACAAAAATACAGAATTCATCATCCTTACTTTAAAGGCCGGATCGTCATTCACTCCTTCCTCCATGAATTTCGCAAGACCCTCTGCAAACAAGGAGAGAAATAATTGTTCTGAATACGCAAAACTCAAAGCTAAACTGCTTCGGTGGTAATCAATGATAAACCACAATAATCTCTTTTTTTATACGAGTATTACAGTGACGGTCAACGCGTCCTATGGCAGAAAAGCAAAATAGGATGTTGTGTATAAGTCAGAGCTAAAAAACGACGACTGGCAAGTAGGCCACGAGAAGGAAATTATTCTCTTTAAAAAAAAACCAATCCAAGGCATTGCACATTCGTTAGGGTACAACAAGAGCCTTTCACATTCAATATTTTTCTACGCATAAACGTTGAAAAAAATGAAATACTATAAACTGCATCTCGGTCCAAACAATTTGTCATCAAAATTTCCAGTTTTTTTTTTTTTTTTTTTTTTTTTTTTTTTTTTTTTTTGGTCATATAGTAAGATTATCTGTCATTCATTCCTTTGTGCTTGCGTTTTTTCTGGTTTCACCGGCGACGTATGACATAGAAAGTTCCTAGTTCTGCCCATGATGCTCCAACAACTGAGAATCATTCGCAATTCAACCTTTTTCATCACTCAGCAAAATCGATCCATACGTGGATGGTAACAAGACTGAATATTTTCAAGCTTGCAGCTCTGATATTGTCAGGTCGAGCACTAGCTGTTCTATTCCAATCGAGGGGTCAATGAAATGAAAGCGAAAATGTTGAATTGAAAAATTCACCCACCTTTCTTCACACCAGAGCGTGCCATGCACGTCTTTTTGTGCATATCTTTCATCTGCTTGATCATTTGTTCCGAAACTGCCGTCTGTTATAAGCAGAAAAATACAATGATAAAAAATTATTAAATTTCGGTTTTTCTAATATCACTCGGAGGTAAAAGACATCCTCTTCGCCCGAAGAACATTACACTTCCTGTATGGGTTAGACAACACCACCAACTTTTCCACACTTGCAGATTCCTTAAGCAAAATGTAAATAATTCAGTTGAAAGTGAGTTACAACCGTTTTGTTCTGAACCCCTAAAACGCTTCACGCTCTTTACATTTGCTCGCGTTCCCTGTACCTATAATATATTTTGCGCTGAACATTTAATTTAAACACAATAATGTAATGGTAGCACTCCATAACGAGTACGCCAGAGAAAGTCATGATAAGCTAACTGTTGTTTGGTTCAAAAATAAGGAAAATCTGTGAAAAGTCAAACTTTTTGTTTTTAAACGAGCTCAACGTAGTGGGCCCACAATTTGCTAAGCCAGAGTATTTTCGTTTTTCTTGGCGTTTTTGACGTTGTACGAATTCCCTTTGATTTTTTCTCGCCTGATGAAGATTATTCCGTAAAATTACAACAATAAATTTGGTATTTTTTTATTTGGTTTAGCAAAATTTATCTTGTTTTGTAACACCGCAATTCAGGAACGCAGTTTTAAACTTTCATCGGCAATTTTCCGTATCATCCACAATTTCGTCTGACATCAAGAACTGCAATAAGACACGTAAGCTTTCTAATTATAATGTCCGATCTAGACAATAGACATCCTCAACTTTTGTTGTGATACTCGATTAATCAACCGTTTTACCTACTTGCCGCCCATGGGCCGCCCGTATTTTGCCGCTCCCTTCTCATTCCTTTTGAAACATCAATAAAAACCATCAAATGAACGTGCCAGCGGGGGAGGGGTGCATAAGACGCGTTTACTCGTGTTGGACACATTTTTTGCGAAAGCCCTATCAACACTACTAGCAAAAGTTCACGGAACTTTGTGCGAAAGTTAAGTTTCGTTAACCTAGCTCTGCGTGGACAAGGCCTTCCATTCATAAGAAATGAACGAAAAAATTATGAGAGAACAAACATAAATGTGGATTAATGATTTTAACTTCCGCCTCCGCGCCGCGCTGACCGCACCGTGTTTGGCGCAATGCGTGAAGTATTCCCGGAGTCTTGTAGGCGCTATCCGTTTCACGCTGACCGCACTGACCGCACTGACCGCAGTGACCGCACTCTGTTTTATGCAATGCGTGAAGTATTCATGCAGTCTTGTAGGCGCTAATATGTGTTACATGCCGATCGCCTCGCCGAGGGCTTCTCTTTTTCATCGCAGGTCCTCGTCATCATTTCTCTCTAAGTCGCGCCGTTCCGGGCCAAATTGCGTGTTTTAACTATTTGGTTTCTCTCTTAACGTGAATAATCAAAGGTACCTACTGTCTCTTGTATCTCTGAAAGACGACAAAATTAGAAATTACTATACTCTCAGGAAATGAGAGATTTTGTCGCCTTCTCTCGTTTGTACTTTTTTTTTCTAAATCCGATTTTTTTTATACCTACACTTAAAAAAACTGCAAAATTTGCCGCCCCCATAGATTTGCCGCCATGGGCCACCCTCTTAATCCAGCCCTGATCCTTAATTTGATTGGAACCAAAATTTCTCGTATTAAAGCTTCAGGTATGTTATATTGGAAACATGGACGCACAATGATGTACATACACTATGTGTTCAGGGAGTACGAAAAATTCCCCTCTCTTACCAAAAACTTACACTTAAGTGCAAATAGTTGCTTCTTCGACTACTTCTTGTATTATTTTGGTATCATAAAATTTAATATTGGTGTGATTGCAGCGGAAAGCTCATTTTTCCTCGGCTGAACTAACCTAGTTCTCATGACTTTAGCGAGCGGTTTTAGTCTGCCGGTGGAACAAAGGGGGAGAAAGGTAAATCCAATTTGCAAAATTAAAATAATAATTTATGTTTTTCGAAGAACAGCAAATAACAATATTTTACGTAATTTACACACATATTTACAACGAAGTCATACTAAACTAATGTATCAGATAAAAGCGAAATCTTACACAATTTTAGGCATCGTATTGTATGATGAATTGCAACGAAATTGAATCACATTGAATCTTCCCATAAACATTTGGTGCTTGCCTACATTTTAATTTGCGTGATTTTGAATTAAATTGAAGTTGTTGTGCAAAGTCAGAGAGATCCAAATTGTTTTTAAGGTGTAAATGAGTTCTTTTCCCTGAAGTAACTATTGGAAAATTGATGCTTGTGACATTCTTTCTGAAAACCGCGTCGAAGATTGGACACATAGGTAGACCATTTTTGAAAATTAGAATAATGAAGAACACGGGTCCCATGAATGATGGTCTCAACTAAGTTTTGGTCAAAGTTTGATCGGTGTACTTAAATTGGATACTTTGCAGGGCTTTATGAACGGTAATGCTTGCTTGGAATGTTAGACTTTCCAAGATAAAATTTGTAATTTTACTTTCAGTGCAGAAACGCTTTACCCTCTGGACGAGGGTCTGAATTTTCTATTTCCGGTAAGTTCTTGCAGAATCATGAGCATTACGAGGCTCCGTTTTCCATAAAACTTCAGTTTTTCGAAAATAAAGCTTTAAGTGATGGCATTTTCGCTGAAATCTGCTGTGAATCGCCCTCAAGATCCTTGCGTCATTCTACATGAAAAATTGTGCATCTTTGTGATTGATAAGTCGAGTAAAGTTCTTGCTCTCTCAAGATGTTTGAGGTTTTTTAGACGTATCTTTTTTTTCTGGATGAACCGCTGAGTACTTGGTTTTAAAAACTGAACAACACCGTCGGAGCTCGGAATTTTCCCCGCCCCTCCTCTCCCGTCAAGAATAGTATGGCTCAGTTTTTGCAAACGGTTATTCTTACCCTGGTAAAAATTGGCAGTAGAATGTGTGTTCCAAAATACTATAGACCTAAAGCCGGCTGTAAGATTTCCAATAGCTTCTGTAGCCGGCTGTACAATTTCTTATAGCCTTTTATAGCCGATGGAGATTAAGCAACAGCCAGGCGATAAAGTGTATGCTAAACGTTACTAATTACGGATGCGAGGACTTAGTGAGTTTTTGGAATACTGCTCTCTTTTTGGGTCGTGGTATCTAGATTTATTTTGCGAGGAAAGCTCCGTACTTTTGATGGATGCCTGCCATTACTAATATATTAGAGCGCCTTCAGTTTCGCATGATACTGTGCAATACCTCTGGTGTGAAATAGTTGCTTCAATAGCGCCATGGCACGCTGCGGCGCGGCGCGGCAGGGCAGCAAGCGCGAAACGCGCATTGGCGCCTACAAACCTAACAGGGATACTTCACGCATTGCGCAATGCGTGAAGTATCCCTGTTAGGTTTGTAGGCGCCAGTGCGTCGCCGCTCCGCTTTGTGTTAGGCTCTAATATTTGATCTCGCGGAGTCAGCGCGTTTTTCAACTCATGATTTTGAAATGTTTGCACACTCTGTATGGACTATTCTCATTTTAATTGATCAAAAAAAAAATGTTTTAAAGGAAAATATAATGTGTGTTTTGTAAATATAAAAGTAATTCCGTATCAAACTTAATGATTTCGTGAAGTATCCCTGGTCGGTTTGTAGGCGCCAGTGCGTCGCCGCTCCGCTTTGTGTTAGGCTCCAATGTAATCTTGCGGAGTCAGCGTTTTTCAACTCATGAATTTGAAATGTTTGTACATCCTGGATGGATTATTCTCATTTTAATTGATGAAAAAAAAAATATGTATTAAAGGCAAATATAATGTGTGTTTTGTGAATATTATGGTGGTTCCGTATCAAACTTAATGATTTCCAAAGCACACGAATTTCTACACAATTTCTTATAGCCTTTTATAGCCGATGGAGATAAAATGTAGAGCCCGGCGATAAGCACTATAGACCGACTGTATACTTTTTTATAGCTTCGTATAGCCCGGCTATATGATTTGCTCCGCTTTCTACAGCCAGCTATATGATTTTCAATAGCCTTCTTTAGTCGGCTATAAGAACTCCTATGGTATTTTAAAATGCAGCTCCTATCGCCAATTTTTACTAGGGTAAATTCATCCGGATGATAAAATATGCTTTAACCACACTTCAAACATCTTGCGCGTATGCCAAGACTCAACTTTGGACACCAAAATTATCAATCGGGAACTAAATGATCATCTTTGCCGCTCCCACCCCCCGCCTTTCCAAGTGCAGTGAAACAGCAAGGGGACCCATTAAGAAATTGCGGTCGGTAGGTCACTAATTGCAGCTTATCAGAACTCAGAAAACCAGGCAATTTAACATGGTCTACTTTTCCCTTGGAGTTGAGTGCACTGAGAAAAAGCAATTTAGCTTATAAACCAGTTAGTGGTTCATATGGAACACCATTAACAGTATTAAAGACAACATATAATAGTTAGTTAGTTATTTTGATTAATGACGATCAGCAACCAGGCTATTTACGTTGGGGACCAGGAAACCTTTTTAAATTTAATCATAGCACATATATACCTAAATACGGTTCACCGACTGATAATTACTTGGATTACATTTTTCAATAAGGGACCACTATCCCCATTTCAGAAACAACATACATGCCATTGGTTTCCCTACACAGATATGTGCTTTTATGAAAAAGCTAGAAGCAGTGGTTCCTAAAAGCAAAATTCAATCCATTTGTTCATTTACGACTATTAGTGATGTTCCATTTGAACCACTAATAATTGGTTCATAAAGCAATGGATTTTTCTCCGTGTGGAGTCCTTTAGAATATTCTACCTTGCATCCAATTTTAAGGAGAAAACGGAATGTTGTCCTCAGTTTTAAACCTACTTTGGTGTTCCACTCAACTACAGAAGATCTACTTTAGCAAAAGAATGCATTCAATGAGAGCCAACGTTCATCATGCCTCCAAGCAGCACGCAACCACAGCAGTAGGAATATGTAAACAATACTGCACACATGGATGCAGGCATTGCAGGAATTCACAATTACCCGAAATCTGAATTTTTTCGTCTACTCGTGGCCCCAGACGGCGGCGCGCTGATCTCGGCTCATTTTTGGCTTTCCGATCCATACCAGCCAGCGCAGGCGATGCTTTGAACTTGGCTCACTTATCTGCAGTCAGTACCTAATTAGTTGATTACCAGTTATGCAACTCTCTCCTCGCTTTCAAACAATTGCAACCGATATTTGATGTTTCGCACGCTCAGTCTACTCTTTCCCAAACAAAGCCCCCACGCTACGCCTAAGTCTTAAATTTTTTTTTTCTCTCTTCTTTTTTTGAGTCTTGTAATGAATCATCAACCCTATAGTTCTGAATGTATGATGCATGTTTCTCCATAAGTCGAGGATTACTATCGATTTTTATGCACAATTGTGTTGGAAGTGCAACGATGAAGCTGGTTTTCTCTAAACACACTGAAGCAAAAAAAAAAAAAAAAAACAAAAACAAAAAAACAAAAAAAAACCCTTACTTTAAGGCCGTAGGTAATGAAGAAGAGTGGGCATTTCAAGAATGTACCTCTGGATATATAGTCAGATCCGCCGCAAGGGGGGGGGACACTGGGTCCCTGGCACCGAGGAACCGGGGGGCCGTCTCGTAAGGAATACGCTGTTTCAATATTCCTAAAATCCTGCCGTGTAGAGTTTTTCAAAAAACATAACTATACTGGAAAGTTTAAATTTTTTGGCCGATATACATCCAAATTCTCACTACCTATGCAATTTTTAAGGGCAAACTTATTTTTAATTTTTTAGTTTTTTTACATTTCTTTACTTATAAATACAATCATAGAAACAAATATATAAAACTTAATTATTCAACTGAGTTATTTACAGTAGGAACTTTGCATATGTTTTTATGTTCTCCCAATGTCCTACCAGAGCTATGCATATCTCTATGACTAGGAAGGATACATTATAAGTCATTGGTAATCTATCGGGGTCATCCTTCGACACTCGCGTCAATTCAATCAGACCCACACTAACCAAATATGTGCTTAGTAAATTTAAAGCAAACATCACACTTACTTCGACATCGGGAATAAATGTAACGTGCAGCAGGCAAACCACCAGGAGTGCGAAACACACCTCTCCTTGCATTTTCGGGACGGTAGAAAAAGGTAAAGTCGGATTTGAAAATTCACACACTCAATGAAACATTAGAGCTAGCACAACTGAGTCCCGGCGCAAAACTAAAATTTTTCCGTGTATTCTTAAAATATACTGCTGTTGGATCATGACAGAAGTTGACAGAGGAAGCACGTCTCACAGGTAATGACGGTTTTCGGCTTGAAATAGGTCTAATTAAATCGTTGTACACCAGCGAAGTTGAATTAAACAGAGATTACAGCTCTCTGTGTAGTAATTATAGTATTGTTTCGGAAAAGATTCAGACGGAAGTGACTCCGATACCTAATCAAAGCAAATATTAATGTCCCCTCTCTTCTCGCACGGACTTTCCTAGTGTCTCATTGAATGTTAGCTTTTGAATCGAGAAATTATACGATCCTATGGTTACTGGTTAGCCTTACTCGTGCGCGTGATCAAAGTCTCTTAAGTCTTAAATGAGCATCAGTGCAAGTGATGATATTATACGGTAACTTTTCCTCGCCTCTCTCTTAACTTAACTGTCGTTGCATGTTTTAAGCAACTACTGTGACTGAAGAGTGCAAAATTCTTTGCATTGTTCTCCGATAAAGACAACTAAAAGAACTCGCAGAGTAGACCTTTCGTGTGACAGAAAAATAATGTGGATATGTGCTTATTCTCTGATGTTTTCATGAGTCTTTGTCATCGATTTAAACTAACGATTGATTCGCCTTTATCTCGCTACTTTTATTTTAAAAAAGCAGCTGCCGGATTGGTTTTCTCGTTACTTTGAATTCTTTGAAAAAATAAAAACACAAGCTTGTTTTTCTGGCGTTTTTGAGTAAAATTAAGTGTGACAGAGGTGATAATGATGAGTGCTAAAGTTCTGATCGCCCGTGAATTGAAACCAATATCTAAATGTAGGTACGATGCATGTAAGGATAGTACTTAGGCCAGCCGACGCTCTATAATTTTTATAATTTTTTTATGCCAACAAACAAATGGAAATGAATTTAAAGAGTATGATTGTACCCAAAACAATTTTTTTTTCTTTGCCTTGGTCCAAAACTTTTCACCAATTTAAATAGTTGGATTGAACAACACTTTCCTTAATCTATACTATATATAAATATCTCTATATATATTACTCTGTACCTATTGACTTTCATTCTACAAAATGCAAATAAGCAAAACTCAGTCCATTAAGTTGATTCTCGTCAGAGGCTGCTCCGTAGGTAGTTTGCGTATTCCGTGGCGGTCGCTTATTTTCTCGAGTGCGAAGAAATTACCTCGTTTTAAGTGAGGGCAAAGCAGGAAGATAGACGAACAATTCGAAGACTCTATGCTGAGATGATTATGTCCAATCCCACTGATGTCGAAAGGTAGAAGGCCTCAACGTTTTTACCGCGAAAGGCCGTTCGCAAACTTAATGGTCGTCAATTGAATATTGTCACTTGGTCTCTGTGACCTTTGGCGGACCAAGGGAACACCTGCTCCTATGTCGTCGAGAAAATTATACCAATTAGAGAAACACCACACACTGAAGAGGCTTCTCCACGAGGAAATAACAAATACACAGTTTTTCACTGAAAAATGCATAAATTTGAGAGACACATTAAAAGCGTTCGAATTTTAGAATTCCATCTTTCACTTCCTCTATACATGTGTAGCATAACAATCCCACGGGAATTAATTTTTGGCACTTTAATTTATAGTTAGAACAACTTCCAAATCACCAAAGTTCCCAATCGTCATGTCAAACGCACTCACGTAGACTTTGCCGAAGAAGAACATGTCGTAAAACCACCGATGCACTTTTTATGAGGGTTGCTTCACTAAAGCATACAAAAATGTAGCAACTTCAAACTTTTGGTTGCTCGTCATAAAAATTTAACCCTTCAAGTCTTTTTAGAGAGGAAAGTCAGGGGTAACGTCAAAGAGCACAAAACGGCGCGGCTATTGAATTTGAAAAAAAGTTTTTGGAACTAAACGAGGACGACTCGTTGAGTAGTATTTACCCGATGGATTTGACCTAACTGATTTTTCAATTTTTGACGACAACGACGAATAAGCAGCTTTCAAAAGCTTCTATCCTAGGGCACGCACTGAAATGCTCCAGTGAAATGAAACGACTAAAATTAGACGTAGGATAAAAGCAAGCGAAGGCGTGTATCCAATGAATGAGTGGAAAAACAATACAAAGAAGTCACCTGTCGGCCGTTAATAACTTTCTTGTCAACATTTGCTCCATTATCTGAGGTCCGAGCAGTTGGTGGCTGTGGTCGAGCTTTCGGCGTTACATCACAGCTGTCGCGGTCGCCGGTGTTTTTGGATTAGATGCAACGCAGAAAATTCTTCGCAGAAACGGACGTCAAATTGCGTGCGGCAGGGATTTTGCAGGTGGGTGCTCATTCTCGTCGTTTCGACGCGCATCGATGAAAGTTCAGAGAATTTCAAACCCACGTGTAAACTGCACGAAAAATCCATTGTAAAATGAGGAAACCCCGTATCTCGCTTGTGGTGTTGTCCAGTGTCGAAAATTCTTGGGGGCGCTGATACGTTTTCGGGGACCCCTCTTGTCGGGTCGGGGAGGGGAGGGGGGCGGGGCTCTAACCAGTGTTCGAAACTCACCTTCGAGTTTTAGGAGCCATTTGGCGCATCAAGCCCGATTTGTAGGCGCCATTGAAAATTTTTTAGGGGCCAAATTGATTTTTTGCCTATGTATTACGGCGCATTTAGTGAAAAGTTAGACGCAAGATGTTTTCGTAACAGAACTAGTGTGTAGCTGTTACTTGGGGAAGACAGAAGCACTGAGGATGAGATCGTGACGAATAGAAAAAGCCTTCACTTATAGTGCTGAAAATTTCGAATCATCACCTACTATGAAAATTCAGATTTTTAGAGGGCAATTTTTAGGAGCCACGTTGGCGCAGAACCTTCATTTTTAGGCGCCATGACCGATATTTTAGGCGCCAAACGAGGGACTCTGCCTCTGCATATTTTTAAAACTGCTCTCCCTTTCAGATCCAAACACAGGGGGAGAAGGTAAAACCATTTTTGGTTTAACCAAACCGAATTTGGGACCCTCATTTCGAAGGCTCGATAGCTGGCCATTACTTGCCTGGCTTGCAGGATGAAACATCTTGTGGGATTTTTCTTGGCCTGTTAGCAATATCCAGGAAAAATTTTGCAGTGCTAAGTTTACTTCACAGCCTTCTCTTTACATCCTGTTTAGGAGGTGTCAATCATCTACAGTACAGTGCAACATGCGACATCATCTTTCATGAAAATGGTTCACCTATATTTTCAACACTGAAGGAAACTTAAAGGATCCGTCACTTGAAAAAGCAAACAACCGTGTCTTCTGCTCGATTGCTACAACTGCTTGACAGCTCCTCGTACAGTCGCTGTCCAACTTCAAGGAATGTTGTGCAGATCGCATCGCATCTTTTAGAAGGCGCTCTCTGTGACGAAGTGAGGCTCGTGCCCATCGCAATTTTTTCATTCTCATTTCTCATTGCAAAATTGTATAAACCTCTTTGAAAAATGTCATCGGTGTCTTCTGCAATACAGTTAGAATGAAAATACATGCAGTTCAAAATAAGGAAGTAATTTGAAGTGATAATTCTCGGCTCCAGAAATTATTCCTCGCGCCGTAATATTGTTTTTCAAAAAGTTTTCGAATTCGAATGGCAGGTTTTAAACACAACGCCCCAATAGCTGTAATTTTATTTAATTTCTAATATAGCAACACAGTCTAGATTTACTAAAAATTGTAGCTGTACCTATCACCTAATTACATGAAAATGCCTATCATACATTTCCAAGATTTTTCAGAATAAACATGATCAATACAGGAACATGTTTGAAGGTACTAGGTGTTCCTCAGGATGTACCTTAGCTCTCGATTTTATTTATTTATTTTTTTTTTATTTTTTGAAGAGAGAAAAATAATGGGCTCCGAAGTGACAGGAATCTGTCCTCTTATAAGTTTTTCCTTTAACAAAATTGTAGTTGTAACTACGCCACTAACGTTACGCGCAGAAGTGGACAGGATAGATGGATATTCGCACTCAGGCACTTCCTATTTTATGATTAAGAAGGAGAGGTAGAATAATATATATATTAATCATTAGCAATAGAGAAGGAGAGGTAGAATAATATATATTGATCATTAGCAATAGAGAAGGAGAGGCAAAATAAAAATGTGCAATTTTTCTGAGACTATTTTGCCCTTATTTCACTGCAAGTGGTATTCGTAGTCGTTCATTCAACAGCTCTTTTTTTGGGGAGGATTCATTTGATTTAAGAGGCATAAAAATTGGTTATGAAGACATAAAGAGGTTTATATATATTTGAATCTCAAGTTTTTAACAGTATACCTAAGTGTGAAATTAGTCCTTGCATGGCATTAGAATGATTTGTCATTACACCAAAAATTCTATGATTTTGACTCAATTCAAATGAGGTCCTTACAAACCTGCCGTGATAGCGAAGAGAGCAAAGAGTATATTCTGGGTCAAATCTCGAGACCATTGGCGTGGCGTGCTTTGCGATATATCGATTGATCTGCCATTTAAACCTACGGAAAATGATCGATAGAGAGGGTGTTCGCAATGTTCGCAACGAACACCTTAATAATCGATTCTTCACCATAGCTTTAAATGGGAAAATATCGATAATCGATCATTCACGCCCCGCCACTGCGAGACACTTAAAGCATGCGCTGATCATGGCTCAATCAGAAATGCACTTACTGCTCTCTTCGCTGTCACGACAGAAGCGTAGTCCCTACTTTGAAATTTCCAAAAATGTAACCATGTTTAATAAAGTTCTTAATTTAAGTTTCACGCTATGATTCATTTCAAATTTTGAAAATTATTGGTTTTATTTTAACTTAAACTTTCGATAAATTTAAAATTTTATGGGGCATTTCTAAAAAAAGGAGCTATTTGAAGGACCCAATGTGCATATCGACACCATATCGAAAGTGAGCCAGTGAAAATGAGTATCTCGGTTTCCGAAGTCGCAGCCTTTCCACTTATAGTTGATTTTTCGAATGGAAAAATACCCAACGCCAATTCTTGAAGACTTTCCTGTTATATTTTCTCTTCGTGGAGAATATGCTGTGAAAATTTGAAGGAGTATAGTGTCGGTCCATCCGTCTGAGAATTGGGGATCAAAGATTTTAAAGCACCCCAAACGAGAAGTGCGTTCGACATGCCAATCGGCCTGACTCCAGCTGAAGTAATCTACCTAGTCATTTTTTTAAAACTAGAAACACCAAATTATGAGTGATTTTGAGCTTAATTAATAAATTTCTACCCGCTGTTAAAAAATAACTGCTCTCAGTAAGGATTCTGTTTCTCCATGTTTTATTCCAAAAAGATGAGGTTATCTCCCCTTCCCATCTCATGCTAAGAACATGAGCTTTAGTGCAATAATACCATAAGAAATAATACAATTGACTTACAGAACACACGTAGTTTAATGACAGATACTGAAATGACAAATACTGAACATAAGAGACTGAGGATATCTTGACTTCAAAGGGATGATAAAGTAGAAAATGTACGAAGCAAGGACAATCAAAATCCACTCAAGCTACCATTCTGATGCACACTGGAAAGATGGTCAAAAACTGCATTTCTATGGTAACGGTGACGCAACATGCCGCCCCCTTTGAATCCTGCAGGGATTCAAAACCTAACTGCGTTTTCAGAACTAACATTATTCCATTTTTATCACTATCTTCGCAACATAACTCTTTCCTGGCGATTTCAAAAGTGATTAAACTCACATACAATTACGGTTTCGTTATCAGCAACCAATGATATATTATCAGGTAGTATCATTTCAGATAGTATTACTAAACATAATATTGACTCATTGCAATGTAAAATTCATTCGGCATTCAGCTACAATTTTTAAAAAATAACAAAGTGGC